TTTTGATATACATTAATTAACTATGTAATATGAAACTTTATAATGGGTAGATTTTTTCCTATGCAGATGACACAGCCATTGTATTTACAGGAGATACATGGGACTCTGTAAGGAAAACAGCAGAATTAGGTCTTGCTAGGATGGTAAATTGGCTCAATCAGAATCTACTCACTTTGAATATATTCAAAACTAAATATATTTGCTTTACCATGTACGACAGCACTCAACCTACACCTGATTTTAAAATTAAAATTCACGAATGCACTGTCTTCCAAAGCTCTAGTTGTAACTGCTCTCAAATAAATAGTCCTTACTTAATAAAATATACATAACTCTGGTTCAGTCAACGGTAGGCTACTGTATTCCTATATGGGGTGGTGCAGCAGAAACCAGGTTCCTTGAGCTTGAAAGAGCTCAACGGTGCTTAATTAAAGTTATGTTCTTAAAGCCCTATAGATTCTCTACAACTGAAATCTATGAATTGAGTAATTTACTTTCGGTAAGAAAACTTTACATTTTAGCAACCGTTTTAAAACTTCATAGTTCCCTAAAATATCAACCGTCATCAACGACTAGATGTAGAAAATATACAGTACCCTATGAAGATTCATTTAAGACTAAGTTTGCATCAAGACAGTCTACAAGACTTTCAATTTAATTTACAATATAATAAAATAAACCAAAAAATCAATATTTACCCTATGAACTACAATGACTGTAAAAAAACTGTAGCAGACTGGTCAAGAAAACTTACTTATGAAGAAACTGAATCCCGTTTAGAAAACAGTGCCATTTAAATTTTCACAATTACAGACTTCTCACAGTCACACACACGCAGACACACACATACACATACACACACACACACACACACACTCGCTCACTCACTCACTCACTCATTCACTCACTCATTCACTCACTCACATACACACACAAACATTCTTGCACACAATTACACAAATATTATTAATTATACCTTACTGCATGTTTTAAATTGTGTAGATTTTCTTTTCATAAAGAGATAGACTAGAACACAAGAAATTTGGATCTCTTTTTGGAGCTCCCTCTATGCTGTTGTACTCACTCTAATATGTAAAATATTACGGCCTGGCTTCACACGGTTTATTTCTGGATCTCGATAACAACACCACCTACCAGGTCCATTTATATATCTAAACCATTGCCGGTCCAGACGTTTAGGAGGAGTTCTTTCACATACACGCGAACTGAATAATTACATATATGTATAGACTAGCTGTGCCCGCGGCGTAGCTCGCGTATACAGGTTTTACATAAAGAATTTGTCGTTTAGGTAAGAGAATATAAAACGATTTATTTCATTACTGTATCAATAAGTGGTAACTAAATAAATCATTATCATCAAAGTTCTAAGTCGTTTATGATAGAGCTTCTGTGTAAACGACGTTAGAAGTAGGCTTAGCCGGGGTGTACACAAAAAGGTTACGGGGGCTACTAACGCGGGAAAAAGCAACATAGAGTTGGCTATGTGCAAAACAGTCAGTACTGAGGTACACTCCTACAACGCGTAAAGTTTGACCTTGCACTTTATTTACGGTCATCGCATAACACACGCTTACTGTAATTGGGAGCTGAACGCGCTTAAAACTGAAAGGAAAGTTACTTCTTAATAGAGGGTTTTTGGGCAGTGCTGCCAGATAAAAAAACTCATTCAGCTCTAGGACAACACAAAAAGCGCTAGATTTCATGAAAACAGCGCTTTAAAAAAGCCCTAGATTTCGCGATAAATTAACTACAAACAAATTTTGTGTTTTTTTTATATAATCATAATAAAGAAAACAACATTAAGTTTTTTTTCTGGCAATATTTTTTTGATGTATCAATACTTCGCAGGTCATCGACTTATATTTATGGCAATTGCTGTCAACAGTAGTTAGTACTGTACGAACAATAAAAATGTCATTAATTGTTTTAAAGTGCAATGTATTTCGCAACTTAGTTTCAGATGTCAGCATCTGATTGCGGTTGCTACACAGTTTCTTTGTGTTATAACTTCTAAGTAACTTTTAACTTAGCTGTGCTCTAAGCAACTGACTGAAACTGAATAAAGCAAAATAAATGCGTTGCCAAAACCATGAACGAAAACTTTAATAAAGGGGATTTCCCCGCTTATAGTCGTCGGTAAAAAAATCAAGTTGATCATCCTAAAGGGGAAGCCAGGAGATCCATAGCACAGGGTATCCTAGTTTGGACTCGTCTCCCACGCTCTTTGTTTTGTGGAAAAAATATGTTTGAAAAAGATAAACTGCAATGTACTATTTGTGGGAAAAATAATAAAGGTCATTATTATTATTATCGGTAATGTGGACTAACAGAGCTGCTATAAAAGAGTTAGATAGACCGCTAGTCGCTACAATTTTGAAATGTGTGCTAAATACACCAAAAAGCGCTGGATTAAGCGCTAGGTGCTAAAATTTCGAAATGCGCGCTATACATCCAAAAAAGCGCTAAATCTAGTTCCCAAAGCGCTAAAATAACAGTACTGGTTTTGCGTATATTATAAATACAATATCACGACATTTCGTTGCAAAATTTTTATTTTTGGTCGGGTTCCGTTGTATGGCTTCGATGGATACAAATTTCTTCAGTAAGTCTCAATACGATTCATCGGCGAAAAATCTCAACACAGCAATTCAGAAAAGTTTGTAATTTGTACAACTCCATCCATTACGTCCTTTGTGTGAGAAAACATCCTTTTTAAATCTCTTTTTGTGTTTTAAGTATAAATATATTAATATAATAATTAATATATTTATACTTAAAACACAAAAAGAACGGAACGTTTTTTTTAACACAAATCTTTTTATTACTATTTTTGAGATTTTATGGCGCCATTGAACAAATCCGAACCCACATTTCAAAATAATAATCATTACTTTCGATAGAATTAACCAATTTTAATAAAACAAAGATTAAATGTAACTCGATGATTATGATTTTCTTAACGATTTCTTTGAAAATAAGAGATGTTTACTTTAGACGTGATGCGTTCATATAATAACAGACAAATAGACATACAGACAATTCTAAAACTTATAAAATGTTCTTATTTAATTATTTTCAGTTCCCCATAATGATTTTAGCCACCAAAATATATATACAATGTACAGAAAGAGACACAACATGTTATCATCATTTTTATTATATGTATATATTTAAAGAGAGATGGCGCTGCTAACATCAATTCTAAAAATAAAAGAGATTAATTGACGCGATTGATACATTATATAAAACGCAAGAGAATTTATAAATCAGTGCCTGCACAGTAAGCAAAAAATAAAGTTTGACTCTCGCCAAAACCAACGCAATTGTTAATAGCTCTTTTAAAATTTGATTTACCACATAGAGTACTCGGCGGTAAAGAATAAATTGAGTTTGTCAACACGCAGTAGGGCAGCGAGTAATATAATAAAGATAAGCAGTAAATATGAAAACTCATCTACAGGAAAAAACCACATTGCAATTGCATTACATTTTCACAACACCACCATCTATCGAAGAAATGGGTTAACTATTGTCCTTCAGATTTAGTTAATAAGGTTAATATATTTTTGTATAATATATTTAATACGTTCTTTAATACTTTTCTTTACTGCGTTTTAGATATACATAATTATATCATTATTTTACATAATTTAACTATGATTTATGATATGATATTAGTTTAAAATGCACTTGATGACACAAACAAAGCCACCGTTGAGCAAATTCGTACCTATACTTCCCTACCCATACTTCAGAATATTTATCATAACTTTTGATGGAATGAACTGATTTTAATGAAATAAAGACTAAATGTAACCCGAAGATACACTTTATAATTTCCTTAACAATTCTTATGATATAAATTAGTACTTTATACGTGATACGTTAACAAACAAACAGACAGACAGACAGACAGAAAATTCTAAAAATGGTAGAAATGTATTTAATTACTTATTCTTAGTACCCCTCAATCACTTTTATTACAAAAATATAAAATGTACAGACATCTGCTATTTACAGTTTTATTATATGTATAGATAGTGAAATGACGTCATAGATTTTACAGTCGTAATCATCTCATTGATTTATTTTGTAATACTATAATTTAATTTAACTTTAAATGGAAAATCGTTTAAAACTTGGTCAATTGTGGTAGTAGTTAATTATAGTGTCAAGTACCGTTATAATTAAGTAATTGGCATCACCATTACTATAACATAATTGAAATGACGTTATAATTAGGGAGCCACGGTAGCTCAGATCGCTGTAAATTTCACAGTACGCGAGCAACCCGGGTTCGATCCCCGCCGGCACCAATGAAATTATTAATTGCAATTTTAAGTCCTGATTTACCACGTGAAATTGAAGGAAGACATCGTGAGGAAGCCTACATGTCTGAGAAATAAGAAAAAATATTTCGAAGACATGTGAAAAGCCAACACGCTTTTACTTCCCCTAAAAACCTCTCAGAAATGAGGCGAGGCCTGTGCCTAACAGTAGTACATATATAGGCTGTAACTTTATAATTAGGTGCAAACTGCACTCCTAGTAGACAAATGACATATGTCCTGTTATATGAATGAATTCCCCAAGACAACACTATTTTTACAATTATATATAAGTTACACTACATGTACTGGGTGGGTTAACTACTGCAAAATACGTGAGATTGGAATTAAATAAATAAATAGATAGTATCCTAATAGTAGAGTAAGGACGGCGTACGTATAAAGGTAGCGTGGGTTCGAATCCACCATTCGACTACTGTCGTGAAACACGCCTAACACAAGGATATTAAGCTTACCAGGAGTGGTTATAGGGAATATTAGTATCTAATGTTTATAGCATTGCTAGTAATTAAAAAAATATTCTATGTTTAAACAATTTTATACAACAGCTTATAATTAAAATTACAATATAACCTAAAAATATTTAACACTATTTACACTTCTAATAAACAAAAAGCATTGGACGGATCAGCTGGTAGGTACAGGACGATCCTTCTTAGAAGACGTGGAGCCGATGCCCTCGGCCTGCTGTATGGTGTCTGGCAATGATAGACTCAGGGTCTCCGGCGTGAGGAGCATTAGCAACCCTGAACAGCCCGCCATCATTCCGAATAATAAGTATGGCAGGGACTCCATATACAACATCTGTTGGAAGGTAAATAAAAATAATGAAAATTTTATACATCGTAGTTATGCTGCAGGTTAACAGTTAACAGAGTCCTTAAGAAGATGTTCTAGTAATCAATGTACCCGGCAGGTATGCTGTGGGTATAAGATTCTAACTCCAGCAACCTGCAATTCTACCTTTCTGCCTTTATCTTGTCGTGGTAGAGACACGCTGCAGCTATATTAAAGTTGTAAAACGATTGGGTTAGCTCGACCAGTGTGAAATAGCAGCCTAATGATGTTGTGTCTCGTATGGTGAGTGGTAGCAAACAGGTTTACCACTTGTACTGGAAACGAAGCATTCACTCAACGTTGAGTATAACAACGTATGACACGATATGACAACGTATCTTCATTTCGTTTCTTAATCAAGAATAGATGTGAATGTCTATGGGCCACGGTATCCACATACTTTCAGCTTTTGTACGTGGCAGAGCCATGCTGCAGCTATATTAGTAGTATAATTGTGGCACGAATGGGTCGGCTCGACCGGGGAAGGACCACGCTCTCAAAGAATACCAGCGCAAAATGGCAGCTTGACGCTGCTGTGTTTCGTATGGTGAGTGTAAAGAACCGGAGATCCATTTTACTGGAAAAGAGGCATTCCATCTTAATCCTCACGGGTGACGATTCATCTGCATTTTAATTCTTTATTGAGGATAAATGTAGATTTCTATGGGTCACAGCAACCACTTACCATCAGGTGGACTGTGTGCTCGTTTGTCACTCTTATTCTATAAAAGAAAATACAAGTACGGATGACACAATCCATCTGATGTTAAGTGGATGAAACGCCGTTTATTAGATTATAAATGGCAATAATTTTTACGGTAACGATATTTAGAAAAAAAGGGATGTCCGATCGCGACGTATGTTAGGTCTCGACTTACTGTGGTTCCGATGATGAGAGCCTCTATTGTGTTCACAAACAATGAATAGAAAACTGTGTTAGTATTATAGGTTCTAGACCAACCACTCAAGTGGTGTTTACTACTAATCAATATTTATGGGGTAGTCTGCAATATTACATAATATGTTATGGTATAACCGTGTAGTGGCGGTGTAAGAATATCCATTACTCGTCGTCTCTTTGGGTGTCATAACGAGCGATGGAGGGAAATTGAAACATGTGATAACAAATAACCCAAAAGCGTGGCAACTATCCCAAAATACCCCCTATTAGGCTATTTATGGGTGAGGCCTATGTTTAGCAGTGGAATTTTATAAGCTGTAATGGATGAAGGGTATAACATTACGTATTGGCGCAGCGCTACTCTAAAACCTTAACAGAAACGGCAGGCAGCTTACGCTTAACAGTAAGACGTACGGAGACAATTACTTTTGTAACTGTTTCTTCTGGTGGAAGCTCGGGGACTAAACGACAAGCTAATAAATTTCACAATACGAAAACAACCCGGGTTCGATCCCTGACAGCATCACTAATAATGTTAATTGCAATTTTTAGTGTTTTGTTTTCTTCACCAGTTCTGAGGAATAAAAATATTCTGAAGACATGTGAGGTCTGCCAACAAGCACTGAAGCAACGCGTCGGAATAATTGCTATCTTAGAAATGGGAGGAGTCGTAAACACACTCACGCCTGTCACCCAGAGGTATAGTTAGACTACGGACTTCCATTTGGCACGATCCTCACATCCCTCTCAAGGAGGCGCCTTTACATCCATATACCTACGCATACATGCTCGTCGGTTAAGAGTACTTGTCTACAACGTCCCTTACTGAATCTACCATTCACTTCTGCTACATAAATTTCCTTTGTCTCTAGTTCCTCGTTCATTCTTTCTATATGAACAAACCACCGAAGCATTCCTTTCTTAACCTTGTTCACAACATCATCTTGCAAGCCACACTTTTCTTTCATCACACAATTCCTCACACTCCCATTCATATTCAGCCCTCCTTACATCCTCACATACCATACATATCCTTACATACTCCTTAATGATTGCATTTCTACAACATAGTTATACAAAAACGTTCCAACCCACAAGTCATTCAAAATTGAGTTCTTCTTCTTGTTCTTTACTTTTTGGCTTCTCTTAAAAGAATTCTGCCAAGGTCAAGTCAGTCATGGGAGTGACAATTAAAAATGAGTTAAATATACAGATCTACATATTTTGACATCTTCGCGAAGACATCAAAATAAGTAGATCTGTATATTTAACTCATTTTTGAATATCTTGTGGGTAGAAAGAATAAATGAGCGTAGTTATACAAATTTATTCTTCTCTCGTGTTTCTTCTGCCACACCAAATTTTCACTAACATACATTAAGATAGGAACTAATACCATTTTCTATTTTCATTTTAAGTCGTCCTAAACTGCTGAATGAATAGTTTGAAACATAAACCCTTTTTACATGCACCACGTATGTAATAAAACGGATCGTTACGAATAAACGATAACGAAATGTTTCTTGAATATAGCAGTCGGGCAATAATGTGTCAATTCAGTTACAAAAACGTAGGGTCACCGTGTAGTGATGGTATAAGAATATCCACTACCGTATTTCATCTCATGGGTTTTCAAAGAGGCGACATAGAAACACCAGGAATATTTTCCTAATAACAATTGTCAATCCACCTGCCAAGCGTGGAAACTATGGGTTGTATACCAATAATCATCGAGCAAAAGTGCACCTTACTATAAAGTACACAAGGTCTGTGCCCATCAATGGGACTAGTATATTATGTGGAATTTGCACTTTACTGATCCCTCACTGTTTGGGTGTTGAACGGATGTTCAATAATAATTTAATCCATAGGTTGCTGCTTCAAATCCGGGTTGACGGACCAAAAAATAATCTAGTATTGGACGAATATTCAATAATGATTGGAAGATTATATTACAACCACAGAGCAACACAGGCCAATAGCGACCGGAGGGGAGTAGCCATTTTTCGTTTTTCGATACAGAACTGTTTGTCATTTTTTGCTGGAGGATATTTGCGCACACAAAAACAATCGTTTGTCACTACGAAACTCACACATAATCATCAAAATAATAAACTAACAATTTCACACACACACATAAATACATTATAACTATATCGTTCGGTGACAGCGACTACACGGATATAGAATGGGATCAGTCGCTCGACCGGTTTGCATATTGTGTTGTGTTGTGTTGTGTAAACAAATACGAAACAACACGACCGTTGTTATTGCAATTTTTAAGTTTAAAAATTAAGACTTATATATGAAACGTAAATCCATCGTTTTGTAAATTCACGTCGCAGAACTTTTTTCTGCCGACTTCCAAAAAGGAGACGGTACTCAATTCGACTGTATGTTTTTTTTTTATGTGTGTTACCTCATAACTTTTTACTGAGTGAACCGATTTAGATGATTTTTTTTATATGAAAGCTGATACTTCACATGTAGTTCCATTTGAATTTGGTCAAGGTCAGAACAATAGTTTTTGAGTTATTCTTAATAACTTACATTGAAGTCGGCTGTACAAAATTTTTAATTTTTAATTATTGTAGCAACAAAATGAACAATTTGGCATTTTAGTAGGACGTCGATTCAGCCGCAACAACTAGATTTAGTGTAGTGAGCAGTGCGGCTGCAAATAGTTTTATTGTACGCATGGGACTGCGTGGATTAATAATTTAATACTTTGATAGAGGAGAACGCCTGTGTATGGCTACTCACCTCCACATAACGGTTATATCGTTAAAACAGTTTATTAAAGACGTAAAATATATAACATTAAATATGGTTAAATTATGTTATATGTTATTTGTTATGTTAATGAGATCGCGTCCGTTGCGATTAAAGTGAATGTGAACGTGATCTAACACAATTTTATAATTGCAAAACTATACGGATTGCTCTGCGTAAAATATGTATAAATGAACGGTTAGATCGTACACTCACCAATAACGGAGTCTGCGGTGCGATGATCTGCCCGATCCTGCCGACCATGGAGCAAGCGGCCATCATGCGGTGACGAAGCCCTGTGGGATACAGCTCGCCCGTGTACACATAGATACTGCTGAACACCATGCTGATGCAAAGCTTTGCGAACAAGTTCAGCGAGGTTTGTAGCCACAGCAGCGCTAGAAAATAGAACATTTATTCTGGTAGGCGCTAGGTAAGCCATGTCCATGTTGCCCTAGATGTGTTGTTTCCAATTTTTGTTCAAAGTTTTATTCCTCTTTAACTTACTTTTATTGATTTGTGGAAGCTTTTTAATGTAATGATTTCTGATTTTAAATTTTACGCAAGTATTACACATTAGAAGAAACTAACTTTACGGATTTTATCGCTTTTAATTTTAACCTTCAGTTTTTGAATATTAATTTTTGGTTGGAATAATTCGTTTTGTTTTTTTTTAAATATGTTTATGCATATATAAGTATATAATAATAAGTATGTACCCCTTCAAAATATATAAATTTTGCTGTGAATTTCAAAGCACGCGCGCAACCCAGTCTTTTATTATTTTTTATTTTAGAAAACGTTACCCACACTAGGATTTATTCCTGAATCGTAGAGGCAGTTTACAAACATAAATTGCACAAGTACAAGTATCCAGTCCAGGAACAATTATTTGCAGCTCACGCAGTAACTCAAGTTAAGCTGTCAAACTCCACCACATCACTAGGCAAAAATTAAGTACCTTAATTAAAATTGTTGATTACCTTTTGCTTAATTTAAGCATTAACTCTATACCCATCTTCTTCTATTATCATATAGTGAAAAGAGAAGGAGTAACTGTATTACTTAAATTGACCACGATTTTTGTAAGTAAGCCCATAAGTTGCTGATTGCAATTTTAAGTGTTGATTCACTACGTGCTCGGCGTGATATCGGATCGGATCGAATCGATTCGGATGGGAAAAGATCGTGACAAATCTATACGTGTGACGTAGGCTGTATTTTTTTGCTTTTGTATAGTAAACTCTAATAATATATCATATGGTGACATATTTATATTTACATTAACAATTTTTTATTACAAGTTTTAAGGATATATACTATATGAAGTAATACTTACAAAGTGGTACAAAGGGTAAGACGACTAGAGAAATACCACAAAGAAAGAAGGCCGTTATAATAGATCTCTTCCTTCCAAATCTGTCAAGCGTGACTATACTGAGACAGTAGCCGGGGATCTCAATCAGCGAGGTCAAGATGTAGTTCACGTAACTGTTTCCCGCAAGCGAGACAGAGTTGATAGACAGTCCGTAATAGATGAAAGTAACCGACATCCACCAAAACGAGCAAATGCACGTGCGACTCATCAGTACTTTGGATTTTAGTACTTGTAGCATTATAGAAGATTTTTCATTTGCTGAATGTGCTGGTGTTGGATCGTTCGTCTGCTTAGAAGGCTCTGGCGTCTCCTCCGTCAACTGTTTGATTGTCTCCGGTGAAAGCTTTCTCTTATTGATTGCTGCCGCTTTGAATATTATTCTTGCTGCTTCTTTTTTCTTTCCTTTGCTTAGCAGCCATCGGACGCTCTCTTCGATCACAAAGTAATAAAGTATGAAGAGTAAAGACGGAGCGTAAATGATCCTGGTCATAGTTCGCCAATATGGCGTCGCCCATGCTACTACCGCAACTACCGCTTGTCCGACAGCAAACGTGCAGGATATGAGATTGCCGCCAAGAACTCGCTTTTTGATGCCAACCAATTCCAGAGCTAGAAAGTAAAAATTATTTTTTTATAAATCAAATCTGATTTCCGTCTGTAATAAAATTTTTGGCTGTGATAAAAATTTCTAATTTACCGCGTTCTTGTCGGTGAAAGAAACATTATTTTTTATTATATATATTAACAATATTCTATAAAGAATAAGTGTGACCAACGAGCATACAGTCCATCTAATGGTAAGTGTGTGCTATGGCTAATAGAAATTTAAATTTATCCTCGATTAAGAATCAAAATGCAGATGCGTTGTCACCCCCTGAGTTTAGCCCTCAGATGGAATACCTTGGTTCCATCAAAATGGGTCTCCAGTTCTCCACACCCAACATATTAAACAGACCACAAACACAGCAGTCCCATCCGTGTTGCAACTATAATATAGCGGCAGCATGGCTCTACCACGTGTAAAAATGTAATGAATCTCGCATGTCTTAGAAAATAAATACATTTTGAGAACTTCACGTGAAAATGCATTGAGACAGTGCGAAGGACTCTTCTTGTCTTTATATTGTTAGTATGACGTGTTTAGGTAGTTACATTAAACGATAGCTAATAGTATTTAAGTGCAGTAGTGCATGGGCAACCTGTATGCTACCGATAGCATTCAGGTTGGCACTAAAATTGTTGGTTGAAAGGACAATGGAAAAAATGGACCCATATTTTTTTAAGATTAAAGAAACATCGTGACTATGCAAGTTTAAACTTTAAGCTAATTACAATTATAAGTTTATAAAATGTATAAATATATAATAAAATAAATTAATAAAATCTATTGGGGCTCTACAATACGGGAGTCAAAAGAAAGTAATTATTTTAATTTATTAAAAAATAGGTCGTCTTGCAATAACCGAACGTTATTCGCCAGTAAACGTAATGATTATATACTCTTTGTTCGCCAGACATTTTTTGACATGACAGCTATTCCCTCGCTATTGGGACTTTTGGCGGGGACTTGACCGGCGGCGGTTTGCTGCTTCTGTATTATTGTTTAAATAATGATTTGAAGTGGACCTTGATATGTAAAAGTGGTGCGATTTTGTGTATTAAGTGTCTGCGCATGTGAACTATTAGTGGAAACTGTGAAACAAGTGCTCTGATGGTGATGTATTCTCAAGATAAGCTGTTTGTCTGCATAGGCGCCTTTAGATACTATCGCCAACTGTCAGCCGTCTGCTGGCTCAAATTGCCGTCAAAATCTCCCAAGGGCTTCACAATGTGACGCGTCAACATATTGTGAAGCAGTGAACTATGAAGGATAATCTAAAAAAGACAAGGCTGTATGGCTTAGTTCCTTTACCTGCTCTCTCGAGCGAATAAAAAAAAATCGCTATTGCTTTAACCGTTGTAACATGTTTTCCTTTTTTTAATAATTTAAATCATCCCACAGATGGTCAACTTTTCACATCTCTCTTCTAGCAAGCAGTAATGAGGTTAAGATAACATAAAAAAATATGTGTAAGAGTTTTGATTATAAATGCGTACAAATTACCAATGTAACGTTTGAATATGGAATAAATCTTAGATATTAGAATTTAGAACTTCATGTCACCTAATGTACCTACCTATCTGGCTACACAGATAAAGTATCTATACTATGTACTTACTAATAGAAATAATATTCAGATACAATGGAGCAATTAGCCGTGGAGAGCCTTGGTAGCTCAGATGGTTGGCGCTCGCGGTAAATTTCACAGTACGCGAGCAACTCGGGTTCGATCCCCGCCGGCACCAACGACATTTTTAATTGCAATTTTAAGTGCTGATTTACCACGTGCTTGGCGGCGAAAGAAAAATATCTTGAGGAAACCTGCATGTCTGTTTAATAAGAAAAAAAAGTATTTCGAAGACATGTAAAGTTCGCCGACACGCATTGGGGCAGCGCGGCCGACACTTCCTTGCCCTAAAACCCTCTCAGAAGTGAGAGGAGGCCTGTGCCGAGCAGTGGGACGTATATAGACTGTACCTTCAACTTTAACCTTTTAACATTGGAGCAATAACATCTACCCATAATAAGTATTTTTTTTTCATGGGAGACCCGAGAAAAGCACGGTCCTAAACCACCTGCATCCATCGACTTATATTAGTATTGTGAAGTACCACCCTACACTTCGCTTACCGGTACGAGTTCGCCACTCAAGAACCTTTCTTCACCAATATCCCATAGTAACTTGCAATACCTCTGCGACTATGATGATGATTCGACCCTCGCAGACTTACCAAGAACGAACCCTGTTGTATAGACGCCGGCCCCAACGATCGCATCGAGGAACTCCAGTGACAAGTACAGAATGTAGTTGTTGGCGAATGAGCGGGCCAGACCAGCTACGGCAGGGCTGACTGCTGTCACTATAAAAGCGACGCGTCGTCCAAACCTAGAATAATTAACGACAAATAACAGTTTTATTTTATACAATAAGACTAGTTTCACTTCGTAATAAAATAAACTCGACTAAAATAAATTAGAATAAAATAAAAATAACGCGAATGGGTCGGCTCGACTGCTTTCACAAAATACCAGAGTAAAATAGCAGCTTAATGCTGTTGTTTTGTGATGATGAGTGTAAAGAACCGGTGACTATTTTTACGAGACACAAGACCTTCCATCTTAGTCCTCGTGGTGACAACGAATCTGTATTTTGATTCTTAATCGAAGACTATTGTAAGTACATGTCTTTTGATCACAGAATCCACATACAATCGGGCGGATTGTGTGCTCGTTTGTCACGCTTAAGTAAAATAAAACTAAAGTTACAGCCTATACACGTAACACTGCTTTTCTCTGAGAGGGTTTTAGGACAAGGAAGTGTCTGCCACGCTGCCCCAATGCGTGGTGGCGGACTTTACAGTCTTCGTAATTTATGTTTTATTTCTCAGTTTTCCTACCACCGCTGAACACGTGGTAAATCGGCACTTAAAATTGCAATTAACAATTTCTTTAGTGCCGGCGGGGATCGAACACGGGCTGCTCGCGAACTGTGAAATTTACAGCGCGCACTAAGCCCCTGAGCTACCACGGCCCATTGTTGTCACCCTGACGGCTCCGCGGCGTAGTGGCTTAGCAACGAGTTCCAGCGCTGGGGGCCGCGGGTTCGAATCCCGCACGGAACAAGTATTTGTATGGCCTACAAATAATTGTTCCGGGTCTGGATGTTTGTCCTTGTACAATTTATGTTTGTAAACTGCCTCCACGATACAGGAGCGAATCCTAGTCTGGGGGTAATGTATTTTTTTAAATAATAAAAAATAATATAAAAAAAGAAACCAGCAATAAGCGTAACGGTCTTAAAAATTTCATATCTAACTCCATAGTTAATAGAATCAGACGTTACTTTGCGGAAATCCATAATAGTATAGACATTAAAACTATTTAGTTAGATCCACGTAAAAAAATAAAAATAATGAATGACCCCTAAGACTCTTAAAGACTCTGTCGCCTCACCTTGCGGTAATTACAGCAGAGTATATTTCACCTGAGGATGCCTAGTTTTAGAGGCGAAACACGTGTCGTATTATAGACGGTGGTGTGTCTTTCCTAGTGTAGTGTTGTTGGGATTAGTGGTGACGGGAATAGTGCACGCAAAACTCTGTCGCCTCACCTAGCGGTCAGTTACCGCAGAGTATATTTCACCTGAGGATGCCTAGTTTTAGAGGCGCAACACGTGTCGTATTATAGACGGTGGTGTGTCTTTCCTAGTGTAGTGCTGTTGGGATTAGTGGTGACGGGGATAGTGCACGCAAAACTCTGTCGCCTCACCTAGCGGTCAGTTACCGCAGAGTATATTTCACCTGAGGATGCCTAGTTTTAGAGGCGCAACACGTGTCGTATTATAGACAGTGGTGTCTTTCCTAGTGTAGTGTTGTTGGGATTAATGGTGACGGGGATAGTGCACGCAAAACTCTGTTGCCTCACCTAGCTGTCAGTTACCGCAGAGTATATTTCACCTGAGGATGCCTAATTTTAGAGGCGAAACACGTGTCGTATTATAGACAGTGGTGTCTTTCCTAGTGTAGTGTTGTTGGGATTAATGGTGACGGGGATAGTGCACGCAAAACTCTGTTGCCTCACCTAGCTGTCAGTTACCGCAGAGTATATTTCACCTGAGGATGCCTAATTTTAGAGGCGAAACACGTGTCGTATTATAGACAGTGGTGTCTTTCCTAGTGTAGTGCTGTTGGGATTAGTGGTGACGGGGATAGTGCACGCAATTGAGGAAGTCCTGGAGGTACTATTCAAACTAGGTAAAATATCATATTATTTTATTACGAGGATCTTAGCTATTTTTATCATCTTTAACTAACTCCATGTTTATACAAAATTGACTCCGGTCAAATGTTAGACTTAAATCCTAAAGTACAGTCTTCTTACGCAAGTAATAAGATATACATACGTATCTGATATGTAGGCCGTGAGTGGAAGTGATACGAAGATTCCGGCGCTGTGAATTGTGCCCACCAGTGTCCGCTTCCAGTCCTGGCACGCGAGGTCAAACTGTAACCACATTGTGATAATAAGGTATTTGAGAAAACTATACAATAATATTTTAAGTATCTTGTTGCCTTTTTAAGACCTCAGAATAATTTACAAACTTGAACTTACTTTACTTGGTCTTTGATAACCCTGAAGTGAGAACTTAGCACACAACCCATGTGATGGTGTATTAAGTTTAATGATCTTTATTGATCTTTTTGTTATTTCAAAGGCCGATTGACTTGCAAAATCCTGCGGCGGAGTTTCTTTCGATGTTTTTTCCCGGACAGAGGAACTTCATCTTATGTCGCTAAATAAACTATTGCTTTCTCATACGATGGATAGAATTTTTTTAACTGTTGATTCAAAATACAGTTCCGATTACACAAAATACTTCGATCGTGTCTAGCGGGCATTCTTTAAGAGTGGATATTCGGTTATATGTCGGATATGTTATCATTATCATCATCATTACAGCCCTTCATAAATCCACTGCTGAATGTAGGCCTCCCCCACTGAATAACACAAAACACGATATTGAGCCACCTGCATCCACCGTAAGGGGCCGCCCTACACTTTATCTGCTGGTACGAGGCTGCCGTTAGGAAACCTCTCTTTGCCATCGCCGACTAACCCGCTGGGCTATGTCAAATACGCTGGTTCTACTGCGGATATCCTCATTTTTAAGCTTATCACACAGAGAAATCCCAAACACAGACCTCTCATAGGCTATAATACTAATGAATAACTATTTCAAAATTACTTATCACCTCAGCGACAATACTGTCATTGCTTTTGTAGACCCATTGATCGCATGATACGGTTATGGTAGGGTGGAAGCTGTCCACATTGCAGCCTGACCCCACGGGCTGCAGCCTCTGACACCGACCTCCGTCCTCGGGCAGCGCCCAAGCACCCCAGCCGTTGGTGGGGAATTGCGGTGGTGACGACTCGCATTCTGGCACCTTACACCTGGAAAAAAGAAAATTATTATAATGCTAATTGTTTGCAGTGATAAATTCAAGTTGCCTTTGTGCTGTCATATCTGCTGAAGCAGCCTGATTTCCCGTTTAATAGCCACGAGATTAAAGAGTGTGATGTACGAGAGGGCTATGTTTACGGTTTTTCTGCGTGATAGGCGTAAAAATGAGGACATCTGCAGTAGAACCAGAGTAACCGACAAAGCCCAACGGATTAATAAGTTAAAGGGGCAATGGGGCGGTTGTTTAGGTCAAAGAACCGACAACTGATGGAGAAGAAAGATTCCCGAGTAGCAGCTTCATAAAGGTAGATGAAGTGTAGGGAAGCCACCCATTACATGGATTGACGACCTGGTAAGACATGCAGGAAGTCAAAAGGTGCAGGTGGTTCGAGACCGTCCGTCGGTTGTGTCATTCCTTGCAAGAGGCCTATGTTCAGCAGTGAACTTATGAAGGGCTGTAATGATGACGATGAACCCTACAAAAAGTGAGCCAGCACCAGGAACTCCGGCTTAGTAGCCGACAGTTCCAACACCTAGGGCCACGGGGTCAGCTTTGTTGATAAACAATAGTGAGATGAAACAGGTAAAACATCTAGGATAATCATTTAGAAGGCATATCACGTATTAGAAGCAGGAAACTGTCAGTTAACTAAATTATCCTGCGCTCTAGAGTGATCAGATATCTCGCAAGCAATTGAACCGTGTCAAGGCAATGAGACGCCTACTGACTTCTTCCTTGTACATGTTAATAAGAATGGATCAGTGTCAGTGCTTAGTGTAATTTCCCTGAATCAAGAGTTTTAGATCTTTACCTAGTAAATTAACTTCGTTACTTTAAAATAACTGACCTTGATCCGTCAGTAGCAAGAACAACAAAGCTGCAGAACTTGCTCCCTAATAGATACATCACATTATAAATTGATATAAGTTGCTATTTTTCATTAATTTATTAATTGCAGCCTATCCAAGTCCACTGCTGAACATAGCCCTCGCCATAGATTCCTCATAAGGGGGATATTTGATTATGTTTTATTCTCTAGGTTATCAGGAAGACTCTGCTACCCATATCCTAGTTTGTTTCTTTCTGTCGCCTATGACGACACCCACGGGACGACTACATCGCCACTACACGGTACACAAAAGTTGATATAATAGAAGCAATTAACAAATATGTCACAAATAATCTAGAAGATGTCATATAAAGCGGACGTATTCCATACACAACGTCACTTCAACTTAAGTCAGTGCCTCTCAAACAAAGGTTTTGTCAGTGTAATTCACAGAGATAACTGTTAAATTTAGGTGGTAGAACCAATACTTGCAGTATAATAGCTGCAGGCTGCAGCGTGGAAGGTTCTTTTCGTCCGATGAAGTACCACGCTGTCATAGAATACAAGCGTAATAGAGCAGCATAATACTGGGACGGGGCTAAACTATTAATGTCCTCCAGACCGAATTTCGGTCATAGTGACCACTGTCAATGGCGACTAGACATCTACGCAGGACAGGATTATAGTGAACGAGTGTATACGCAAACACAAGTGCGCTCTCTATTCTCACACTCTCATATTCCGATGGGGCGGTAATTCGTTACGACCGTAAAGAGATCAGGTGTAGGACCAACGGCTTTACGTGCTTTCTTTCACCGCCAACTACCAGACTCTGGGCTGCTACCAAGAATGTCTTATCAGAAAAACTCAATAAATTATTTTTATCCTACCTAGAAATAACCGGAGGGAGGGGAGGTTTTATAGTATTGAGAATGACGAGAGAATGGAGGGTCCATTCTCTCGTCCAGCTCTTCTAGTAGTGGTACATTCCGTTAAGTCTCCAGGTGCGACAACTCGTTCGATTTTTTTAGAACGAGGAGAAATGTAGGATCTATATATAAAAGTCAATTGCTATCTGTTAGTCTCGCTGAAATTCTAAAACGGCTCGAACGATTTTGATGCATTTTTTGTGTGCATTTGAGTGAGTCCCTGGATGGTTTAGATTCACAATTGGACTCGGAAGGTAGCGCTGTCGTTGAAATACAAAAATCACATGTGTGAAGCCAGGGCGGGTCGCTAGGTTTACATAAAAAAAAAAAACGTTACTCCTACTGGAGAAATTTCTTCCGTACCTACTAAACACTTTGACCCAAATAATTATTTGTAGACTGTACATATATTTGTTCCGTGCGGGAATCGAACCCATAGCCTTCAACGCCACAGACATACGATTTACTAAATATTAATTTTATTTTTGTTAATAAGTAAAATATTATTTTATTTATCAACATTTAATGTTCATCCACCACATGCGTTACGCTATCTATAGTCAATACACTCGCTATTATTAAACTAAAGCAGCACGTATGGTGAGTGTAGAGAACCGGAGACCCATTATACTGGAAAAGAGGCATTCCATCTTAGTCCTCACGCGTGACGACGCATCTGCATTTTGATTCTTTATTGAGGATAAATGTAGATGTCTATGGGCCACAGCAACCACTTACCATCAGGTGGACTGTGTGCTCGTTTGAGAAAACCGTAACCACTCATCGGCAAGATTTCACGGACTGCATAATTGGCTACGTGAGCGAATTTCTTTACAATTCTTAGCAAAAGAAATAATATTATTCTAATTTGTAACCACTCGCAAGAAATAAAAAGAAATCAAATAAAAATGGCGGTAATTCTTTCCTTATTACTGACGGCCTTGTTGGTCTAACAGTCGTAAACTCAACTACTGATCATGTTGTCTTAGATCCAAACTCCATCAGTTACTAGGATTTTCTGGCGAGAAATTCTCAGAGTCAAGAAGTTTTCATATCCGTTACTCGGAAGACACGTGAAGCCGTTGGTTCTGCGCATTATTTCACTCCTGTCGTATTGTACTGTCGTCTCTCGCTCTTATAGTCCCATCGGACTTGGAGAGCGAAAGATTAAAGAGTCCACTTGTACTTGGGCACACTCGTGTATTCCTGTCCTACGTAGATGGCTCGTCTCCTTTGAGACTAGTTGAAATTCGTTCTGAAGGAAATTATACAAATTATCATAATTGCTGTTTAATTTTCCTCCGAGCTCAAGCCTTTAAACCTTGACTAGGTAAATAAGTTTCGTATGTACTATCAAGGCAAACCTTGCAAGGCTCACGGGGAAAATATCAAACGGACGTGACTGTACTAAAAATAAATTTAATTGTATTACTGTGCGCATAAGCATCAGATGCATAAGTGGTAGCTGTAGGGGTTAGTCCAACGTTTGTAACCCCTTATTTTAAAAAAAAATAAATGGCGGCGGCTCAAGCATCAGCCCATTTTGTCCCGTGGGTGTCGTAAACGGTGACTGTGGGCAATATTAGATAAATCTTATGACCTGCGATAGATGGCGGTATAACAAAATCATTTACAGCAGACGTATAATACCCAAACCAGCAGACTGAAATATACTTGTAGAGTCATATGGGCTTTTTGGGCTGACGGTGATGAAGAAGGAGTTGAAGAAGAATAATAAATAGAAGAAGACGAAGAAGAAATAAACAGCCGGTGCTCTTCTCTTTAGCGGCTTTAGAAATAGACTAAAAATTAAATAATATTTACTCGCACAGACTCTACAGGGTAAGACTAGATCTTTTTCCTTAATACCTGACCTTTCAAGAAATGCGTCGTCTGACAAAATTAAAAATAAATAAGCCGATAAGGAAAATTTGTTTTAATAGTAGACTCTTCTAACAGTCCATCTCGCACTTGACATTCACTCCACGATCATGCGTGCGCACGAGGAAAACCTGTTGATAATTCGAAGGTGAAATACTTAACACATCGATAATTCGATAATCACCTCATTATCGGCGCAATAAATGATCCAAATCATGAGTTTTTATCGTAACTGAAACATTCGATAATCCCCGAAAGCAGACGCGACGCCTGCAAAATCCCACATTAAAAAACAATACGACATGGTCTGTATATTAATGCTGTTGTTAGTTTAGTTGCCAGCCCGGCGTGGCAATGAGGCAATACAAGACTTTTTCTGCCACCAGGGACCACTTTCGAATGAAATGGAACATTTGGCAGATTTTTTATAGGATTAGGATGAGAAATGAGCACACAGTCTATCTGATGGTAAATGGTTGCTGTGGCCCATAGACATCCACAGCTATCCTCAATCACAAATCAAAATGCAAAATGGAATGCTTCGATTCCAGTAAAACGGATCTCCGGTTCTTTACACTCACCATACGCAACACAGCAGCAATGAGCTGCTATTTTACGCTGGTATTCTGTGAGAGCGTGGTCCTTCCCCGATCAAGCCGACCCATTCGTGCTACAACTATACTAGTAATAGAGCTCCAGCATAGCTTTACCACGTAAAAACTTTATAGCGAAGGAAGTTATTATTTGTTAGGAAAGTGTAGAAATTAATGTTTCTATCTGAAATATTATATTACTTATATTTTATATTTATTAGATTAGAAATGGATAAACCAAACTACCGATATTTCCTAAAAGTAGAAAAATAAAAAAAAAGTTAAAAATGTCTAAAGTTAAAGAATACAGCGCTGAGGCAGTGTTTTGTGTATGTACAATATACATTCACTAAAATCAGAAAATCTTTAATTTAAAACACCACTTTTCAATTACGAGAACACTATGTGATCTTCTGCGTAACAAATTAAGTTCACCTTAGTCCCAACTAGCGACATCTGGTGAGCATAAGAATATGAGCTCTCATCAGGGGCAAATTTTAAAGTTATTCATGTCATGCATTGTAGAATATCCTATCCTATGTCTAACAGTGAAAATAACTGTTGTTGTTGAATTAAAATGAAGCAAAATCTTTCGACGTAAGAAAATCAAATTAACTTTGTCAGGGGCCATTTTAGTGCCGTTTCAGATTAACGATTTTCTGATGAGAGAAACATCAAATAGAGAAGTGGTAAAATTTAAAAAATTTGTCCAGTTCAAAAATTGCTCGTCAGACAAATACTTGAGACAATACTTGAT